AAACAATTCAGCTACGATCCCTGCTACTATCGCATCACTCCCAACCTGCCAAAGGGCCAATCAGTTTGCAGTGATGGTACAGGCACGGGTGCTTATCGGCGTAGACGCCAATACCGACGACAATATTCTTGTGCCGATCGCAGTCGTGAAGATTCTCGCGATAGAACCAGTGACACTATCAACACTGATTCCTCCACAATTTATCCAACCAATCCAACTGAGCGCATCAGTGTAAGTTCGCTCGTTAAAACTGAAGCGTTCATAAAGCTTAGATTTTTCTTTGTTAAACTGCCGCACTGCAAAATTGCACCACAACACACAATACCTTGCCTCTGCCTTCAAATTTATTCGTAAGCGGTTTGTTATTTGAAGCCTTTTCAACACTAGCAAATAATGAGAACTCTCTCAAAAACTGTACAATAGCAAGAATTGTTTAAATTATTTTTTAAATTCATATTATTTTTGTGTGGTCTTGTCTTTGAAAGTCTTTATTCTTGTACTATAAAATACCCTTTATCCTTCAAAATGCTTTTGTTACTGGGGTTATTGTTCTGTTGCACCAAATAGCGCACTTTGTTATTGTAAGTTTTGTTCAAGTTCGCAGCATAAATTTTTCAAAATTTTCTGCTTTATTTCAGTTCTTTCTCAGTTTGTTAAAAATACTCTTTTCTAGAGCTTCTTTATGTATGTTTTGTGACCATAAATCATTTTAATTTTTATCGAAAAGGTTATGGCAACAGTTTGAATATGCAAGTGTGCTTGTCCTTTCAGCAAATTTTAGACTACTCACAATTTATATTTTATATTTTATATTTTATATTTTATATTTTCTGTTTTCTTTATTCTTTATTGTTTATTGTTTAATTAATATCATTTTTCAACTCTTTTATCGCATTTTACTTAAACAATTTGCAAGTCATTCTCTTAGTACAACTTTGTGACGTAGATTTAATTTATTTTTGAAAGAAAATGGTAATAAATTCAACAATTCATAGCACTTAAAATGAACTTTATTATCATCCTTTTTTATATTTTTGATGACAAAGGATTAAGATTGTTAGCACAAGAAAAAGGGTATGATGTTAATAAAGTAACTTTCCTTTGTGCTGAATTCGTATACCAAATAATAGGTCAATATGCTTAGAAGAGTTTAAGCTCAATGTTGTTGTTACTCTTCATACTCTTATTAATAATACCGCATTTATCATAATTTAAACAAAGTAAACAAGAAGATAAGCAGAACAAAATTATAAATATTATTTACTGTGGTTTTAAGCATCGTTAATACTCTAAAAACCTCATTTAATATCTTATTATAATTGATTTATACATTTATTCATAAATATACATTTATAATTAAATGTGTATTAACTAACCAAACAAATATCCTATTAGATACAAAATAAACAACGCAAAATAAACTTAGTTTCGGTTTTCCTGTAGGTTGAATACAACAACACAAAAAATCAATTTCAATCTTTATAATTATCTCATTAATAATATTATTTTAAATATGTTGGCAAATTATTTTCTATAATTTAAGCATTTGTTTAAACATATTGCAGTGTATGGGCTTATACAAGTAATTGAGGTATGTTACTGAACTTCCTTATGATATGAAACATTGAATTGCATTGGTAGCATATATAAGACAATTGACCGAACGGTACTAGATAGATATTATTATTTAAATTAGCTTATAGTAGATAATTAAATACAAAGCAAATACAGAGATACCAACATGAGAATAAATATTTATTAAGCGTTAATAAATCAATAAAATTCTGATATAGAAGAAGTACTGAAAACATTGAGAGTACCGCACCGTACTTCACCGCATCTAAAACATTACATTATAAAAATATTAATTTGAAATGTTTGTTAAAGTTCCTACTTAAAAGATTTATCTTATGTAGTAAAATATCGTTTAATATATGATTATCGTTAACAAGCACAAGATCGATATATGGGCTTAGAATATTTCTCAATTGTTTAATTGCATCTTGTATTTTTAATTTTCAATATTGAATATATTTTCAAGTATATAAAGTTTTTAAAAAGAGTTTTATTTATTACATTTCTTAGTGCAGTTAGTTAGCATTTTTTAATATATTTTGGTTTGTCATTTAATTTTTATTATTATGTTGAAGCTATTTGAGCCAGTGCACTTAAGCACTTTTACTGTTTCTTAACTCGTGGTATTTTTAAAACCCCTCTTTACGCCTTGACTAGATTATTGTGTATCACTTCATTAACATAGACTCAGCAATAATCTGCATATCTCCCCGAGGAGCCTGTAACCATTCTGAGATTTGAAAACATGGTGTTGGTAAGTCTGTCAGTTTTCGCAAATAATTTCAGGGCTCTATCCTTTATGTATGTTTTGATGGAATCAACCTTGACGTCCTAATGTACCATGGTACTTTGAAAAGTCTTCTCAGAGCCTGGCTTTATGCAATTTCTAGCTGGTGAATAGTAGTATTTGAAGCTCTACTAAACGCTACACAACCATATAAAAGCCACCATTTTTTATTTTATTCTGATTTCATTTTTTCTATTTTTAGTGCAGTTAACTAGCATATTTTTAACTCCCTTCTGATGGTTTTATTTTAATTTCTTTAATGTAGTTAGATGCTTTTTTGTTATTAATTCTCATTATTATTTCATTATAATTATCTAACACTTTCACCGTTCTTTTAATTTGCATTTTAATGACACATGAAAATATTTACAAGTAAACCCATTTTGTAATAAGGATGTATGTATTTTTAAACTAAATTTCTGTAGTATTGTAAATAAATTTTGTTATTTTATTTTATTTAAAGATCCACAGTTCTGGTTTTTTTTTTTTGTTTTTTAATAAATATTTTTTCCAATAATTCAAATTATCTGAATTATTATTTTTGGTACTACTTATTTCAGACAAATCACTGCATTTTGTTTTTTTAATTTTAAGTTTATTATATCTAATAAAATAAACAATTGATATATTTCTAAGATAATTGCGTTTTGCTAATCTTGAACTAGTAGACTTGTTGCAGAAGTTAAAGGTAGTTATTGCTTATTCAATTATTTTTATCTCTCAGACCGAGATTTTTATCTATCAGACAAACTCAGAAAAATTGTGTCTAGCTATTAGCAGTATTAAAGTTTTTAAGCTACCTAAATGATTAGTTAGATTCAGTTTTACAACCAGCCGTAATTGATAAGTCAATAACACATTTTTATATAATTCGGTATTATATAAACCAGTAGATATATTATAATAAAATCACCAAATTTTTCTATTTTTACCAAATTTTTTTATATTTAAAAACATTTTTCAGGAATATTTTGTGTAGAGTGTGGGTGTTGCGGTCAAGGAGCTATCGCGAAACTTTTTGACCCTAAGTAATGGTTGGTTGCAGTGACAGACTATCAGATAATTTTTCATGTACCTCAATTAGCAATTTTTAGCCGTTTTGATACTACATTCTTCGCAAAAACTTTTTAGATAAAATAATACAGACTAAATCCAACCCACTGAATTCAGAAAATTTAATAGATCGTTCGTCTGTATAGTCTGATTAGCTGTCAAAGAAATACCTTTCTAAAAACCTGTTTCGTTTGAACGCCAAAGCCGGTATTTGACAGAAAAACTGTTAAATGGTTTCTTTTTTCCCGCAGGTTTCCATAATTTCTGTAGTGAGAATTACATTAGGTTACTAATAAAATATAAATATTTTTTATCTCAAATTTAAATTTTCTTTCTATTATAGTTTTTGTGACATTCATAAAAATAAAAAAGTTGAGCAAGTTTGGGTCAAATTCGACGTAGGTTCAGTAATTGAATTGAGCTCAAAATTCATTTAAAAGAAAGTCCATCTTAACAACTATAGTTAAAAATTTATTTCTTTGATATTCGTACGGGATCAGAAAATACTTCATTTTAATCGTCTATTATTACTCCTATTCGAAAACATCTATCGCATCACATCCTCGAAATTGTCTGGGGAAGTTGAGTTGTATAACTGCTGTTATGTTCTAGAATTGCCCTTGTTAAATCATTTGGTCTTCCAGAGAAACCTAAGTAGATCCAAGAAGTCTGCTTTCATTATCTTTGTCAGGATAATGAAGAAATATTTTGCATAAAATTCAATATTTTTATATATATTGGGTAAAATTTCTCAAGGTCTACAAAACTGTTTCTTAAAGAATATAAGATTGTATAAAGTTAATATTTTTAATAAATTTAATATATGAAATATTTTTAATGTATTTAATATATAATTTATTTTTAATATATAATACATACTAATAAATTTATACTTAATATATTTATTTAATATAAAGTTAATATACTTTTTATGTTCATCTACTAAAATAAATTTAAACATTTGGATCGAAGACTTTAGACGGTCGAAAATGTTGGAGATGATTAAGAATATTCAAAGAACTATTCGAACATAAAAATATTTGATTTATTAAAATTTATTTTATTTTATTTTTTTTTTATTGTGTTTATATAGATACATTAATAGCATTAACTATGTTCGAACCCAATACATAATATAGTTTAAATAATATCTGAAGCACTACTGTATTTACATTTCTACAAATTAGATTGAAAGAACAAGAGTCCTATTCTTTAGGGAACAATGGATCGGTCAAAGAATTAATTTAAGAATACAAAAATCACATATATCCTTTTTTTTATTAATTGTAAAATAATAAATATCATTAACTGCAAAATTGTGTTGGACCCGTGTAAAAGTGTCACAATATTCACAAAATAAAGGAAAATTCTTATCACAAAAAATAATTATTAAAGCTTGAAAAAATTATTGTTTTAGAAATATTGTATGTTAAAACGATATATTTCAAATGTCATAATATTATAAATATTTGTGTAATATGTAAGCACAAAACCACTCGTGAAAACAAGCAAAATTGAAAACAAACACAGCCTAGAACTCACGCTATTAGCAACAACAGCAACACATTTCATGCATTTTGCGCATTAATGAAGGCTGCACTACAAAGGCAAGCAAACCACGACGAGATAAACAAAACAGGACATAACCTTTGACTTTGTAACTTGTAATGAACGCTTAAATCCATTAAAAGACTTCGCTGGTTAGGTACATGAGGAACTTAGAAATGCGCATAAAGAACTTAATATTGATATATGCGGTTTAAGCAATATAAAGGATCGATTTAGACAAGTAGTTGGTAAATATCAGTGACAGCCCCTCTTGTAAAATGGAATCAAATACACTTAAGTGAACCCATTGTTTGGTAAAGTGAAGCTAGTATAGTATACCTATAGTGCTAGGTATACTAGCCCTTCAAAATATAATTCACATGTTCTCTGACTCTTTTTTTTTAATATTTGTTGTATATGAAGAAATGATAATGTTTTAAATTATCTGCATTGATATCAGAAAACACAGTGTAAAATAATATGAAAGTTTTCTTTAATTATTAAAACTTATACCATGTTCCCACTGCAGCTTAATTAATTTATATTAATCAAATTAAGCTTTGGTCGTTTTCGTTGGCATAAATTGATTAAAAGAGCTTTTATTTGTCTGAAAGTTCTGTGAAAATTCTAAGAGAGCTTTTGTTTCATTATATTTTAATTATTGGTGGATAATATTTAATTTTCTATTATTAATAGAAATTAATTAATTGATCATCGAAAACGAAGGCTATGGGAACAAAGTATTAAGTAGACACCCTTCTGTAAAGACTCTTATTAGGATATAATAAAATATTGTTGACGATGAACCTTTAATATTGGGGCATTTGTTAAGGTACTAAGTAAACAACTTTACAATAAAACTTAAATAGTATCTGTTTTAGGTACAACATTGCATTGATACTTTATTTAGAGGGGTTTTGATACTTTATTATAAAAATCTATGCGGTCTAGCAACGCCATTATATATGATTATTATTAAGTTTGAAATCCAGGCTTCTTCGTCGCTTTAGAGACGCACAACACACAATTCATCGTGATCAGCACTAAATAAATTTTATCATGGCTTTTTAACCGTACAAGTATTAAGGTTTGTCCCTTTTTTGTTTAAATTTAAGTTAATTAATAATAGTCATTATAAGTGAACTTGCAATATTGAAACAATGAACTTTACTTATTATGAGACCGACTTTTTTTTGTTATATAATCTTATAATATTTACAATATAAATAGTTTCTTAAGACAAAATATTGTATTATTAAAAAATGGTTGATCTGTCAACTTCAATCCGTTGCATAGGGTGTTTTGACTGGTATTGGTTTTAGAGGTAGGCAGTAGAGGAGGACATTTCAGGGTGTCAGATATAAGGAGAAGCCGGATGCAAGTCATAAAAAATTGGATGATCTAATAGATATTGTGAACTTCAATCTGTTGTATAGGGTGTTTGTAGTCAGTATTGATTTTACAGGTGGGCACTAGAGAACGACATCTCAAGGTGTCAGATATAAGGGGAAGCCAGTTGCAAGTCAAAAAATAGTGTTTCATTCAATACTTTTATTTACAATTGCACTAAAACTATAAAGATTACTAATACTTTTTTAACTGCACGTAAACTACTAAATGATAAGGTACTTTAGATCATATTAAGCCATACATAATTACTAGCAGCACCGCTGCAAGCAATTGTATATATTTTTCACTGCCTTTTTTATGAGTTTCAATAGTAGTTAAGGTGTCTGAGAGCCATCCCGCATAGGAAGCTCGTTTGTAGTGTTACAAACGGCATTGCTTATACTTCTCAGTACAAGCATTTTATAATTATAACATATGCAAAGCGTATATATGCATATTGAGACAAATGTTGATATGAAAGATTTAGTATTATTATGCGCATCTCTGTTATATAAAGAACGTAACTCATAAAGAGGAACATATGGGTATTATTATTCTTATTCTTATTTCTGTTATTTGAAGAACCTAACTCATAAAAAGAACATATGGGTACTTATAAGAAAATTTTTAGCTTTGATATTGAAAACATGTGCTTAAGTTACATCTTTTTGAATTCTTTCAGTATGCTTTCAAGTCCCAATCGATGTGACGATGAATGTGCTTTTGTAATTCACAAATTTTCTCAATTTTATTATCTGTTTTTGTATTGCACAAAATAACTCATATAAAAAGTTTAATTGAATAAACTAATATGAACACATAATGCAATATATTTATAATTTAAAGTTATATGGTAAAGTGATAGTATGTAAAAATTGAAAGAAAGCGTTAATAACTTCAAATGCTGCAATGTATATATTGTTCAGAATGTTAAAGTTTAAACTACACTTTGTGCTTGTTAAACGCAATTGTTGTATGCAATCACAATAGAATTGTACAGATAACACCACTACCTGTTTTTGATGAAAAATTCGTATCTTGTCTGAAAATTTCAGTTCGACGGCAGCGATTGCGGCGCACTCGCCTATCAGCCATTACACTGCAGTAGTCGTGTAAGCAATTTAGCAATAAGAGTTTATATTTCGATGCACAAATCATTTTCCTATGCACACAACTCTATGTTAAACAAATCCATTTCCATTTCATTTTCAGAATTTAAATATGTTGCAGGAGGAGCACTCCACATCTATAGCAGAACGTTGTACGCGAAGCCGTATCAATTCGGCGATATTCGTTTCATCGGATGGAAGAGGATTTGATTCCATTGAATTCCTGCGAAGGCATGGCTCACAAAGTGTACTCTGTCGAAAAGCCAAAAGTGCAGAGAACATAACTGATAACGACCGAAAAGTAAGTTTGGATAAGCATTTTCATATTATTATATTTCATGTTATGTATTTTATATTAAATAATTTAATATTGAACTACAACAACAAAAAATTTTATTATTTTATTTAACTAATTTTTAGCAAACCATACAACTGTTTCGAGTATTGCCAAATACCCTTCAACAGTGGTCTTGAAATTATTTCTTATATTTAATTATTAGTAAAATTAATTAAAATTATTTAATTATTCGTAGAATTTTTGGAGATCCTGCCATGAGTCCGAATTCTGGCAAATTTAAAGCTCACAGTCTGTGATCATTAGCCAACAGACCCAAAGCCATACTTGACTTGTATGTTGTATGTTGGAAAGTTTTGTTGATTTGCTGTGAAAGTTCATTAACAAATTTACTTGCTGAATTTTATTAGAATGAAATCATAAATCAACTGTAGAATGATTGAATGAAACGTCTTGAAACCTTTATATTAAATACAATAGTTTCAATTACGGTCATTTCCACCATCACTGACATTAAAATGCGAGTTATTTATATTTCAAATTCTATTAAATTTTAAAAGCCTTCCACATATTTTACAATTTTTATAAAATTTTGTCTTTATGTGCCTTTCACATAAATAATTTTATATTCATTGGCTATAATAATCCTTTCGAATGTGCATTTTCAGATGTTGGGGGTAATTGAAATGGATTTTAAAAATAAATATTTAATAGAATTTGTGATTAGAATACTATTATTGAATGGGAAGGTTACTGTTAAAATTACAAACAAAATAATTGTCAAAAATAATAATATTAATATTACAAAGTTTAGTGTAAAAAATTAATATAATGTATAATAGTTAAAAGAAGTAAATACGGCCTTAGTTGAAGTTAATTTATTTTGACTCTATTTGTTTAATTATTTATTTACTAACTTATTTATTTACTTGCTTCAAGATAAGATTCTCTTAACAATAAGTCATTGACAATAACAAGACCATTTTGATAAACTTTCTTCTTCTTCTCTCAACTATATCAAAAGTTATATTCAAAGCAATATTCAACCTTTTGGCAGGATTTCTAAATAGTTTCTAATTTTTTAGTGAAGCCTCTATAATACTTCCAACTAAATAAGCTTATTTTTTAAACAAGATCCAGTCATATCTAATTTATATTTATATTTAACAGAAAAGTTTCTCGGAAAAGCGACAATGGCGCACAAATGATGGCACTGATACTAATACCGATGATGAGACTAGGGATAATATGTGTATCGAACTACAAGAATGTAGACCAATGGTTGATAAATCTAATCGAAATGATAGTGAAATAAGAGCAACAACAAGTTTACTGGGAAATATTGCCCCAGTAACTACATCAAACATGATTGTTGGTAGTATATCGATTGAAGCACCACCAGCCTACATGAAAGACGATAGTAATAGTGCTTTAAATACTATTCTTGATATACAACAAGAACCACTATTGATAAGAACGCCTCCAAAAACAACTTCACGTGACTCCACCGATACAGTCGAAGAACTCATTCTTGTACCCAATGAAACTAGATCTAAAGTATTAGTACATCAACGTTCCTCAACAGCTTCATCCACAGCACGCAGTCAATCACCGCCATTTTCATCAACACACAGTAGTCCAAAAACGCTAACGCTCAAAGGCATCAAACCAAAAATTGGTACATTACCTATGGTTTCAGTATCAGGTCCTTCACCACCACACGAAAAACCGCCACCGTCCGATTGCTTGTAACAAATGGCAGCCGAGACATTTATTTAAGAGTGTTTAAAATCATGGAATGGAAGGAAATTTATGATCATTTGCAGCACTATATAAACATACAATATATAAAAGCCAAAATATTAAATATTAGTCTAGGATTATATATAATATTTAATATATATTAAAAAATTAACTTTTAATTGTTTATTTCAACTAAATTCCTTCCTTCATTTCTCTTAATGAAACGGGTGAAAATCCGTAATCGCTCAAATAAATGTTTCGGAACTGCTGAGAACACTATAAGTTAAACTTTTCTTAACTGGACTGAATATAAATTCACATAAACGAAAGAATATAAGCTTTAAACCATATTTAAAACTTTCAGGCTTTAATATAAAATATTAACATATATATTTACATATATGTATTGATATATATAATCTGTTACTACCTACATACAGTAAACTTTAATTTGTTAAAAGTGTTTTATATATAATTGATTAGCTTTATTAATTCTTTATGTATTATAGTAAAAAAAAATAAACTATAAACTATTTATTAAAATGTATTTATGTATTTCAGAAATACAGAAAAAAATATAAAAAAATATTTACAAATCTTTACATAAATTATATATATATTAAAAGCACTCTATGCATATCTAATCTTTAAAACGTGACATATTTTCCTGAAATTAGAGACCAAACACTAGCAGTAAAGTAGGAAATTTTATATATAAGAAAGAAAAAATAATTATTTATGTATATATATCATTATTATGTTTTTATTAGCAATATACACTAAATTCGTAACAGTGACAATTTAAACTTATTTTTTATGATTTTAAAAGAAAAAATTGTGAAAAAACGAAATATTTTAGAAAAAAAATTATTGATTACAGAAATTCTATCTGATCAACTAAAATGTTGAGATTTAAAAAATTAATTTAAATTTTAAATATAATTTAAAAAACAATGTGTTTAATTCTATTTTATATATATATTTTCAAAATATTTTTGATGGCTTATGAAAAAAAGTGTCTAAAAAAATTGTAATATTATACTTATTTTAGTACATATTTATGACTATAAATTTTTTGAAATGTAGTTGTGTCCAGATAAATGTATGAAATAAATTTAAATATATATTTGTCATATATGTAATTAGATATATACTAGGATTTTAAATAATATTTTTTATGTGTACTTTTCATGTACTAATATAGTTCGTAAATTTTGATATTTATATACTTATAAGTATATGTGTGTAGCTATATTTATAAGGGTTACCGACCCACCAATTTCTATTCGTAAACAGAAAATATAGTACGTATTTTATCTATTTGCAAGACAAAAACTAAAAATATTTAAATACATTTCAAAATAAAATATCAAAAGTTAAAGTCGAATCTATGACAAACATATCCATAGGTGCTATACACCTGCTATTTTTTAAAACATTTTGAAAAAAATTTTCCATTTTCTTATTTCGATAACATAAAAATTGGAAACGAGCAAATTTATGGTTCAAAATATTTTTCAGAGTTTTTTTCATATGTCCTGTTGATATATAGATCATACCACCTCTCTTTAATGACGGCAATTCCATTATAACATCTATAAAATAATACAGTCCAACTACACTTTTAGAACTAAACTAAACTAAACTAAACTGTTAAAATTTTTATGGACTAAATGTTGATTTCAGTTACCAAAATGTCCATACGTAATAGTCAATTACTGCTATTAAGGCGGAACATTATAGGTTAGTCTCATAGCATGCCTACGTTATAGGTAGGCTGGGTTTACTCCATAAAAACTTTTGTTGTGGTTGTAACTCTGAGGACGAGAAGAAAACTGTGTTTTATCTCATGTGTCAGTGCCCATCTTTAGCTAGGAGACGATTTAAAATCTTTGGGTCCTTTTTCTTACCGACCTGTCTCAGCTGTAATTCTGCAAAATTAGGGACTTAGCTATGTTTATAGAACTGTCAGGTTGGTTATTTTTCATCTTATAACGTTTGTCGTACATTATCGTTAATCTATGCATGAACAAACGCCAATCCTGTGGTACCACAACGGGCTAATATTTGAGCTCAAGTAGGGTTTCCTAGGTACAAGATCGCCATTCCAACCTAACGAACCTAACCTAAGTGTCCACAAGCACAAATAACAGTTTTTTCAATCGAAATGTGACAATTTTGATTATTTATGTATCCATGTAACCACAAATGAGGTTCATTACTAAAAATAATTTATGCATTAAGTATTAAATATATTTCAAGTTACTCTAAAGCCCAATTTTATTTGCGAATTAAATCAATTAAATGAAGAATAATCCTTGTGCTGGAGAATAATCTAAGTTCTTCATTCTATCAACACTATGTGCACTCTATCGATATTTTAATTAAATAATCATAATTTTTAGCCATACTTCGATTTACAATATCTATAGCATTATAATACGGTTTCCCTGGAAAATCCTATCCAAATCTGATGTTAGGATGAAACCATTAGCTTATATTCTGACTTTTATTTGGAGGTTAAGATCGGTTAAAAACATGAAACGATCATGAAACAGTTTCGCTATATATTATAAAAACAAAAGAGCAAAACGAAAAACATCCTTCTACTAAAATAAACAGTAAAGTTCAGTTCAATATTTATTATTCCATTATTCATGTATTTGATCGGTTATTGTTTTACAAAACTATCTGAACTTACACATGCTCATACCTTAAACATTGGTCCATCATATTTAAAGAGGGGTGGTATTATTCCATGACCGCGTTTTTCATTTAATTATGAATTATCTCTATTAAAAATGAATATATTTATCAGTAAATAAATATTTCCTGTTACCTCGTAAAGTAGAAGCAAATCTAAAAATTTCTTTATATCTATTCAGAAGGTATTCTGACGTCAGACTCTCCTGTAATTCTGTATAAATATTTTTCTATAACATTTAAATTGTTTTATTCTTAATAAATCGTATTTTTATAATGAACTAAATTTTTATATAAAATTCATTTCTTAATAATTTCAAATAAAATATTTGAATCGGTTAGTAGATATATATTTTGATATAATTTTTACTGTCACTTGTTAAAAAGTTTAAATAACTATATCTAGGTCTAATGTATTATACTAATATTAAAAGTTATATTAACACTTCTATATTATATATACTCATTTACAATGGTGGTAGCTTTACTTAACTGAAAATTTATAATTACTTACATGTGTCAGACTAACTATAAAAAAATTAGTAATTAAAATGTTAAATTAAGAGTTAATTAAATAATAAAATAAATGTTAACTTAATCTATTAAGCACAATAAATGTAATTAATATATATTTTTCGTTTATAGTTTAGATATTTCAAAAGTATAGTCATTGGCTATTATTTATGGAATTGTCAATTTATGGTCCAAAGTTACAATAAATGTTTAGCCTAAGATAAAATTATAACTAAGTATGTATGTATTAAATATATCCTATATTTATGTATGTATGTATGTCTTTTTTTCTATATTTAAAGAATTCAATTGTAATCAATAAAAATAAAATACATAAACTTTTTCATTATCGAAAAATATTTGAAAATGTCATGGTTTTTCTTTGGAATCGTTTAAATTTTGAGGATTAAAATACAAATTGTTTATAAAAACAATTTTTGGTACATAATATAAAACTATATACAATATAAGTTTATTAATATATAAATAGTTCACATATGTAAGCCTTGCTTTTTAAACATCATAATATGATAAGTAATTTTCTTAATAAAACAATCTTTAAAATGTATATCTTTAAAGTATATCTTTAAAGTATAAAGTATATCTTTCGCTATAATGACCTCTATAATGACACATAGCAGTTTCGATATATATTCTTCGACAATATTTGCAATAAAGTTTATTATTTTAATGTTGTTTATTAGTATCTTAAGCTTCCATAAAGAATGTTTATTAGTCTTTTAAGCTTGCATAAAGATAGGAGCAAAGAGAGGAAGAAAGGTTTGCTAAGTTGTAGAATTAGATGAAAGTATCAAAAAGTAAATTTGTAAAATTGATCGACTTCAGCGTAACATGTGATTTAGCTTTAGCTTTGCAAATTCAGTTGTCTAAGATTACTAACTAACTGAGCCAACAGGCCTAAGCGAATTCTTTGGATTTTCGGCATAATCTGAATTACGGGAAGTTTATGAATAATTCAATAGTTTTCTGATATATTCGTTGTTTTTGTTGTTGTTGTAGCCCGCAGGGATCTCTAAAGCAGATAACATGAAAGGAATTACATAACGAATACGTGGATTAGGATGTCGACAGATAATGATTGTGATAATGATGAGGGGATTATTAAGAAGTAGGGGATTGGGGGATGCAGGATATATTGATAATTAAATTAATAATAAACTATCCGTAAAAGTTTAAACATTATTTTGTTTTTGTATATAGCGTCCCGACCTCAAATTTGAAGTGCAATCACCGTCATGAACTCATATCCACCTTGGTGGTTATAAATCCATGCCTTCAGTACAATGCCTAGCAATGCCTGCACAACCGCGATGTTTGGTCTCTGGATCTATTACGATATAACAAAAATATAAATAGACAAAGGATGGCATACATACCCCATATTGATAAAGACTTAGAAAAGAGAATAAATTATAACAAAATAACTAATTGGACGTAACGAAACAAAAATAAAAAATAGGAATAAAAAATAAAATAAACAGATAAAAATATTAATTGAAAACATGATAATAAATAATCATAAAATAATAATGATAAAAGAGTTATGATAAATGGCAACAAATAAGTTAATGCTATCCGTAAAAGTTGAAATCATACATATTAAATGTATGGAATTAATTTCAAATCATTAAATATTTGTTTTAAATAATATAAAAATTTTGTATTTTCAATATCTCTTAATAGGTACAACATATTTTTTTATTTTCGCTCAAATATAACGCAATGATTTCCTTGATCATAATAACTGCTTATCAAGTCAACTTCTTCTAGTTTCGCAACTAAAGCTTCTAATTCTTTTTCTTCAAATACGTGATAGTATCTTAAGAAGGTTGCCTTGTGCTCATTTATTGATGCATCCGCACCCTTAAGTTTCCATGGTACTAAGACATCTTGTTGTTGAAATTCAGTACGGTTTGTATGCACAGGTAAATTATAAGGTAAATCGTTGGATTGTAATTCCACAGTGTGAGCCGTCAACTGACGTTGTTGGTCTTCAGTAACTTTACTTTTATTAACAGCTTTATTCTGTCTAAGATAACTTGATTTATTTCCACCAGATTTTTGATCTTTAGCCCACACATATATCAGTGCCCTGCCACCTTTCCTTAAAACACGTGCCATTTCTTTCACAGCTGCTAGACGACGTTGCTCAGTTGCCAAATGATGTATGACAGCAATACTAATGCAAGCATCTACAGACGCCGATCTTACAGGAACATTTAAGCAATCACATCTAAAAGCATTTTTATTATTACCCACACAAACATTAAGTAAACCATTGGTTCGATCACAACCAATTGACAGAATGTTTCTATTACAATGCAAATATTTTCCATTACCACAGCCAATATCTAAAAGCACTGAACCAATTACAAAGCTATCTATAAATTCTGCCACCTGAGGCCAAGGTGTATGACGTGTTTCACTGAAGTGATTAGCAATTTCATCATAAACTTTATGTACATTTTGTTCCTCTAAATTTGCGGCATCATCTTCAGTAACGAATGTAGTGGCAGTAGTTTTTATTTTCTCAATATGAGTATCACATAAAGTTGGAAAGTTGCAATTACATGGTGCACGTCGCAATTTTCTAAAGGTTAGTGACGTACGTTCAGTTCGTTTACTAAGTGTTAGTGCACCATTTGAGGATTGTACTACATCATAAACATGTGGTGTTATGCCATGCATCCAATCATAACGTGATTCCCCAGACATTATTAGTAATGAACGTTTTGGTAATAAGACTGGCACACGTTCATTGCCTCTGCGAAATTCCATGACTACATCACTTTGCAATGAAAGTGAGAGTATAGGATCGAGAAAAGCACTATGTGTATCGACATGTGATGGTATACCATGACCGGGTGCATATTTATTTACTGTTAATTGATCTGGTATTTGCCAATCTAGTTTTAGATTAAGTTTCTCAGCTTCTAATTGCAAACGCGGCCAAAGTATATCACATGCAGTTGGTATCTGTTTATCAAGTGGTCTATTAATATCAACATTATTTTTACCATATATAAATTCGTAACCAAAATGTTGAACCTGTCGATGTTTTAGTTCACCAGCAACAGTTTCCACAGTTTTATTATTAATAGCTGTCAACAGCAGTGCTTCCTCGTCTGGTGTGATGAAGTTTGGTAAGATTATTAGACCATTTGGTAAAGGTAGCAACCATTTATTGTCTATAGCAGTTGGAAGCTCTTTAAAATATGATAAATATACAACGGCTTCATTTTGTCCAATGTGCGAACAGTTATGTAGGGTTTCGTATATGCTTTCCGCATCTTTTATTGTGGCACATTCCAAAAAGCAGTAAGATTTGTTAGGTAGCATAAAGAGTTGGTTAATGGCGCCATGTTGATTGACTGTGGTTAATACAACTATTTATCGAAGTAATATAATTAAAAATAATAAGATAATTCATATTTTTAAGTTACTAACGTTCTTCTGTCAAGCCTGTTGATAAACCGGCATTCAGAATAGCCAAATTATGTGTAGGAGTCTCACTGGCTTGTACTCCACAATCCTTTTCGACAACTGCAATGCAACGTTGTTGTTTCCGTAGCACTTTTTTTGATTTATAATTTTGTGTCATTATATTTTTAAAACTTAATTATTAAATACAATAAATGTATTTGTTTATATTTTGCAAGAACTTATAAACATGTGTAAAAACCTAATATCGTAAATTGTTTACGTGCTTAAGGCGCAACAGCTGGTTTCATTCAGTGTAGGTAGCAAGGTATGCAAAATATGTATGGATGAAATTGCTTTGTTTACAAACTAAGAGCGTAAAAAGAATAGAAATTGACAGTTGACGTTTCCATAAAATTGTCAAATTTGTTTACACGAGTTTGTTTGGCGTGGAAAGTGTGGCAAAATTTTAGTTTAAATTTATTAAAGTTTTTATATTATTCTACTTTAAACATTTTTGATATATAATCAAAAAACAAGACTGCGTGTACTAAACAATATGGAGTAAGTCAATAATATTGTACCATTCATATAAATATATATATTAATAATAATTAATTTCACTTTAGCGACGACGTGCTGGAAATTAAAAATAAAATTACAACTTTAGTTAATCTTGGAAAAAATGACACCACTGAAGCAATGACCATTATTAAATTTCTACGTAATATTTGTGGTCGCGGGCTTCGAGTACAAAATATTATAATGGAAAACGAAGAACTACACAGCGTCTTACGGAAAATATTCCACATAGATTGTGAAGAAGATTGGCCAGAAGATGCACAATTAAAAAAAATGTCATTACAATTATTATCAAATTTAATTGTACAAAATAGCAATAATCAGCAGTTAGTTTGGAAACGTTATGGAGCCATGATTGTTGAATCCTCTACAAACTGTCCATTAAATGAGTACCTAAACGTACAACTCATGATCTTATACAATATATACATTGGTAATACTCAATCACTAACTGATATTGAAGTATTAAAAATAATATTGAAAATTTGGGATAATATATATACACAAAAATATGAAAAGGACGTTGAATGTCTACATTTCTTTTTTGAACATATTTTAGTGACTGCACCAATGACTACAGCTAAATGTTATGATAAATTACAAATTAAAGAACGCATATCATTATTGGATTATGTGCTTACTTATATATCACATAAAAATCCCAATGGCAGTATAGACTTTAAGGTGCTACAAACATTTTCGAAGAAATTCAAACTCAAAGCCGATACATTCCTACGTGTAGCACAAACAAACGCATCTGATAATCATCCACGTGAAATTTATATGTTACTGAAAGTAATTGCCACCACCAGTGGTGATGAAATATATGCACCATCTTATAGTAAAGATCACTCACTTTTTATAAGTGCTTGCTATTTACTGCGTATAATACTTGATGCTGGTAAGAGCTCAGAACAGAATATTTTTACGCCAATGAGCAAATTGGAGGAGGTTGCTACGACATCCAATATATCTACTGACTTCGAAAATGAAGTCAGTTATGAACTGAAAACATTACTTGTACGTACGATAGCAAATCTACTACATGAGAATCAACAAAACCAGGAATACTGCATAGACGTGCAACTTCTTCCTCTATTGTTTGAGTGCACAAATATGGATGCTCGTAATCCTTGTAAGTATTGGACGTAGCTAATATTGCATTTACTATATATAATAATTTTTGAATGATATTTATTTGATTTTCAGTAATGAAGGAATGGAGTATAATTGCAATTCGTAATGCCTGCCTAGGTTGTACTAAGGCCCAAGATATCATAGCCAATCTTAAACAACAAAGTGTTGAACAAAATGATAGTGTCGTGGAATTTGAAAATGGTACTTTAAGAATTCAATCTAAACCAAAATGACAATGCACATAGATTATATAATAATATATATGTAAATATAATAATTATAGCGGGTTTCTGTACGTTAACGTAATTGAAATACAGAGACTATATTTAAATTTCAAAATTATTTATTGTGTCTACTTATTCTCTTTATCAGAAAACCGAAACTTCTTCTTCGAATATATTTTTCTTTTTTCTTAAATTTCAAGTTTTAATGTTGTCAATATACTTAAATAATAATCCAGTTTACTGTGATTATTTAGAATATGAACAGCTACATTATTCCCCCTTCCGAAAAAACACCTTGCGACCATAACGCGAAGTGTATGTCTTATGATCGTTCTTGTCAGTGACTAAAGGCTTAACTTCTTGTTCCTTAAAATATTGTTCACTGAAGGCTGCTTTGAGGCGATCCACCGAGATATTCACTTTCCTTCCCTTAACATCCACGACAAAATATTTATCGAAACGCTTAAGAACAGTGAAAGGACCTTCGTATGGAGCCTGCAATGGTTTACAAATCATGGAATTTCTGACGAAAACCTGATCCGAGGAATAAAGATCTTTTTCAATAAAAACCTTTCCACTAGAATGATGAGCAGTTTGAGTAGGTCTTAAGTCGTTCATAAATCTTTTTAGTTTAGCTACAAATTCTGCCTGAGGGTTTGAGACGTCGCGATTAACTTCTGAAATGAATTCCCCAGGTAAACGTAAGCCAACGCCATAAACCAGTTGTGAAGGACATGCGTTAATATCTTCTTTCACTACAACTCTAAATCCTAGAAGGATGAGAGGTAATATTTCAACCCATTTGTCATTTTGATAACACTTAATGGCTGCTTTCAAAGACCTGTGAAATCTTTCAATAATTCCATTAGAAGCAGGGTGATAAGCTGTGGTACGTAAGTGTTGAATACCAAGAAGCTTAGACAGCTCTTTAAACAAATAGCATTCAAATTGTCGTCCCTGATCTGTGGTTACACGTAATGGAACGCCAAATCTTGCAATCCAGGTGGAATAGAATGCGAAAGCTACATTTTCAGCAGAAATATCCTGCAATGGACAAACCTCAGACCAGCGTGAGAAACGATCGATCATTGTCAAACAGTAACGAAAACCTCTACGGCATGGTAGTGGTCCGACAATATCCATGTTGACGTGGTCGAAACGAGACGAAGCAGGTAGATACTGCTGAATAGGTACCTTGTTGTGGCGGTGAATTTTGCTTTTTTGACAAGCAATGCAGGATTTAGCCCAAATAGCACAATCTTTCTTCATATTAGGCCAAATGAACTTTTCTGCTAATAATTTGTGAGTTCTTTTACCATTTGAGTGACAAAGGTTGTGGATCGAGTCAAAAGCGATTTTGCGAAAATGCTTCGTCAAGACCGGACGAACGTTCCCGGTAGAAATGTCACAATACACTGATACATCAGAGTTTGGTAAGGTAAAGGACTTGATTTGCAAGCTGGAGTCTCCGTTGATAAACCTTTTAACTTCCTCATCAGTTGTTTGCTGATAGGAAAGATCCTTATAATTAATTGTCTCGCTAGAATGAATAGCTTCTATCCTTGAGAGAGCGTCTGCAACGATGTTATCTTTACTAGAGATATGGCCAATGTCCGTTGTAAATTGACTCAAGAAATCCAAGTGTCGGATCTGTCTAGGACTAGCATTATCAAGCTTCTTAGTAAAAGCAAACTGAAGCGGTTTATGATCTGTGTAGATGCAAAACTGTCTACCTTCTAACATGTGGCGAAAGTGCATCACACTTTTGTAAGCAGCTAGAAGTTCTCTGTCGTAAGTGCAATAATTTCGCTGAGCGTGAGTCAGACGCTCAGAATAAAAACCAAGTGGTTGGAAACTTCCTTCAACTAGCTGTTGAAACACAGCCCCAACGGCAATGTTTGATGCATCCACCATAAGAGCCAATTGAGCGTTTGATTTTGGAAAAACTAGATACCTTGCATCGCGAAGTTGAATCTTGCATGCGTCGAAAGCTGTTTTTCCTTCTTCAGACCACTCGATAACCGTCTTATCATTTTTCTTATTGTCAAGAGTAAGTTTGTTTAAGGCCGCTTGTTGAGTTGCGGCACCCGGTAAGAATCGGCGATAGAAGTTAATCATACCCAAAAAACGTTTCAGATCACAAACGCGCTGCGGTAATTTAAATTGCATTAAAGCTTCGACTTTATCTGGTGTTGGTTTAACACCATTCTTGTTAATTACAAATCCGAGAAAAATAACTTCATCCTTACCGAAATTACATTTGGAAGGATTAATCTTCATCTCATATTGCTGCAGCCTGCGGAAAACAAGTTTCATGTGTTGTTTGTGTTCCTCAATGTTCTTTGATGCTACTAGAATATCATCAAGATACGCAAAAGCAAAATTAAAATCACGTATAATGTGGTCCATAAAACGTTGAAAAGTTTGACCAGCATTGCGTAAACCAAACGTCATCTGAATGAATTCAAACATCCCGAATGGTGTAGTGATAGCCGTTTTGGGAACATCTGCAGGATGAACAGGAATCTGATGATAGGCTTTACGAAGATCAATAGTCGAGAAAACATTGCAATCTTCTAGCCAATGTGTGAAATCATGTATATGCGGAATGGGATAACGGTCTGGCTCGGTAATAGAATTAAGTCTTCTGTAGTCACCGCAAGGTCTCCATTCTCCGTTTTTTTTCTTAACCATATGCAAAGGACTGGACCAAGGACTATTAGATGGTCTACATATTCCAGCGTCAAGGAGAGATTGAATCTCTGCTTTAGCAGCTTTCATCATGTCAGGAGGAAGGCGACGAAATTTTGAGAAAACCGGTGGTCCATTAGTGACGATATGATGAAATACATCACGAGTTGAAACTAGGGAAACCGGCGAATCATTAATGATTACAGGAAATTCCTTTAATAAGGTATGAAATTCATCATCATTATTGATTGCTGATAGACCAGATATCGGGTGATTGACTGCAGTAAGAATACAGCTGACAGACAGGTTGGTAATACCATCGAGAAGTTTGCGATTTCGTAAGTCGACGACAAGATTATGATATCCCAGAAAGTCTGCACCCAAGATAGGTTGTGAAACCTTAGCAATAGTAAAGTTCCAGGAGAAAGCGCGACGTAAGCCCAAACTCAATGAAAGCCTTTTTCTACCAAATGTTTTGATTGGCGACTTGTTGGCTGCAAATAAGTGTATATGTTGATCTGGACAGCGTTCTTGTTGACCACTAAGAACTTCAGACCTGAGCTTTTGTCGAATACGGTAAGTCGGCGACATGCTTGGGGTTGTCTGTCTGGTATCGCCGATAAAGACAGACGATCTAGTTTAAATTTTTGCTGCATGGTTCTTTGCATTTTTTGGCGCTACGATCAAACTTGCGATGGTACCAGCAGAGACCTTCGTCGTCACGATCAACACTATTTCTTCGACTACGGTGTCTTGAGGTTGCACGGCTGCGAGAACGTCTGACCACTTAACTCGGCCACTTCCTTCGATAACTGTAATATCTGTTGGTGAAGAGAAACATCACTTACCGTGGAGGTTGTCGGCAAACGAACTTCTTGAATAGAACAAGCATCGTTCGCTTTAGCAATCCTATCTGCCATGATAGCGATTTTATCCAGAGATTCGCTGCTTACTGAAATGATAGCACGCATATTCGCTGGCAAATGTGTCATCCACATTGACCTAAGTAAGGAATCATCCACTTGTGTTCCAGCCAAGTTTTTCATCTCACGCAGAAGTTGAGAAGGACGCAAGTCACCCAGATCCATGTCTTGAAGAAGCTTCTTTAACCTTTTTTGCTCGGAAATTGAAAATTCTTCAAGTAAACGCTTCTTCAGAGTGGAGTATGGATTTTCAGTTGGCATGTTGAGAACCAGATCACTGACTTGTGCCAGGATAACCCCATCAATTGACGCGACTACTGTATGAAATTTAGTATGCTCCGTGGTAACACCTGAATTTACAAATTGCGACTCAATTTGTGCAAACCATAACTCGGGCCTAGCGTGCCAGAAAGGAGGTATTTTCACTGCAATTCGAGACACTTCTTCTCTAATTGAATGATGCCGCTCAGTTGGATGTAATTGCTCCTGTTGAGAAATGTGACCAGTTGAATTGTTTGATTGTAACGGTCTGAATCCAGATTCATCATCTGAATGTGTCACTGGCATGCTTGTGTGTTGCGTTTTCAAATCACGTCGGGGTCACCAATATATAGCGGGTTTCTGTACGTTAACGTAATTGAAATACAGAGACTATATTTAAATTTCAAAATTATTTATTGTGTCTACTTATTCTCTTTATCAGAAAACCGAAACTTCTTCTTCGAATATATTTTTCTTTTTTCTTAAATTTCAAGTTTTAATGTTGTCAATATACTTAAATAATAATCCAGTTTACTGTGATTATTTAGAATATGAACAGCTACATAATAAATGTATAGTTATTTATATATACAGTTAAATCTATCTTGAGCAGATTTTATTTTCACGACTTTTTTCATGCCATGCTGTTTTAAGCAAAAAATTATAATACAAATCTAAAAATTTATATACACTGAAGATTAGGAATAGGAATGAAGGTTAAAGGGTAATAATTCTTCTGCTATAATTACCGAAATTAGTTATTGGTGTGATAACCCGCAAAAATTTGTTAGGTTAATCCCTTTTGGGAATGTTGAACAACACTTGGTTGTTGTAACCCACAAGTATCTATAAAGCAGATAACATGTATGGATGATTGCAGAGATTAGGGTTGAGGGATAGATAGGACTAAAATTAAAGTCAACCAGGATCAAGTTGAAGAAACATAAAAATCAGAGCACTTGGTGTCAAACTCGACAAGTGGGTTTGGGATATATAACCGGCCGCTCTTTGAACTAGTATACTATTGATTACTAGCAAAATTATTAACTACCATTATCGCAAAACTATATGTAGCACTGTTCATTAAAATACACCAGATATAACTCAAAATAATTGAAAATACATACATTATAAGTGTTTGTTCGAAAGCAGCATAGACAAGCGGCAAATATTTTCAATTAATTTTAAACGATATAACCAAGGTAATCAAAATATGCTCTGATTAAATATATATAAATGGAATTTTAAAAAATTAAATACGTACGGATTTGGCTCTACTTTGCTTGCAACAGAAAAATTTGAGGGTGTTTATAGGATATTATATTTTAGAAAATCAGAATATTGCTTAATATTAATTCACAGTTTAATTTCCTTCCATGCAGAACCTTAAGTTTGTAGTGTATAGGCAAAAAAATTAACATAATTCGCTAACACCAATTCTGACAGACGATCCGTAGGATCAGATCTTTTCTAAAATCAAGTTTGAAAGTTATTGTTTGAGAATTCATTTTTAAAACTCAATTTTAGGTACAAAAAAAATTATGTTTAAAATAAATATATGTATATATCTACATCGCTCAAAAAAAAATTATATTTAAAAAAAATATATGTATATATCTACATATAATCAACGTTAAACAATTGTTAATATTGAGATCTCAATACATATTTTAAAAAATTTAATTTTTAAAACTTAAATCAACATTTAATTTTTTTTTTTTAAATTTGAAAATACCCTTCAATATATTTAATTATATTTTGATATCAAAATACAAAGAAATAAAATAAATCTGTGCACATGTAAATTGGCAAGAAATCTAGTAATTTATGTTCTAACAAAGTGTAAAGACACTAGATTTGTTGTAGAACATGTATGTTTTCTTAGACAAAAAGAAATTTTAATTATGATTATTAGGGCGTATTAAAAATGTATTTCTGCATCATAGCCATAGAAAGATAAAATTTAAAAATACTTAAAGGGAATTTACATATTAAAAAAATAACTCAATGTTATGTATACAAAATGATTCGTCAATGCATTATGTGATAATGTATAAAATTTATTCTCTTATGAATAAAAAAGAATAAAAACGAAAGCATTATTCACCTTTAACCAGTTTACACTTTATTCTTTATTAAACAAATATGTCATTTTTAGGCGCATGCATTCACTCATTGAAATCTGTTTGTTTGGTTGATATTCACAAATACATACATAAAGCAAAAAATAATAATTGCTCATTATATGCTCATTATAGTAAAGAACAATAGAAAAAAGAGAATCAACACAGGCAACCGCTCCCATCTCTTAGTAAGAATATTTGCCGCATTGGTGCTAGTCTCCAACATTCAGTTATTCGATATCTATTCGCTTTGTAACAAAATACAATTCACAATTCAATTCTATTTAGTTCTTTTATTTACGGAATTAGTTCACAAATCAAATTAATTATGTATTTTTGAGTTTGTAAACTGTTCACTTCTCTTTATATATATCCAACGATTTATAAAAGCATTCATAAGTTATTAAATTTGCTACAGTAGTCTTTTTCTAAATCTTAAAAAAATATTTAAAAACTTCAAGAATATCAAAAAATATTGAAAAATTTTAGAATTTTTGTTAAGCAACAATCAATAATGTCACCTAAGCGACAAGCATTATACGTATGTGATCGAGCTGTAGTTGAATCGTATGATTTCGGCGTGGATAATGTATGGCTTTAACATAGGTTTTGTTTATTTGACGAATCGAGTTACTCACAGTATCATATCGCCAATCGTGATGCATCGTATCACTTATCATATCGTTAATCGTGTCATTTACCTTATCGAATCATATCGTTTATCATTATATATTGATAATCGATTAAGCACAATCCCTTACAAATTTCGGATATCGGATATATAAAAATAAAACAGTGAGAACTTGCATAAGTTATAGGTTGTACTACTTAACAATGAAGAAAAATATAATTTAGCTTAACAAAGCTAAATTAAAGACAAATTATTATTAATATAGCTTACTCTGTATGCACACAAAGGTCTTAGGTACAGCCGTCTAAGTATGTTAAGTCCTCTTATTTCTAGACTTCAAAAAAATTAACAACTGTTGTGTGTCTTGTTTTATTAAGTTTTGGAAACCTAAACGACATTTAAAATTTTAAACCTTAATAATGTTAAGTATGTTACGATAATAATATAATAACATAACGTTATTATCAGACCATATCTAACAGGAACCTCAATTATTTAAATTTATTTTTTTTAGACAGTATTTACATTTTCAATGATCTGTCATTACTACAGATTTTATATTTTTTTTCTTGAGGTCTGAAACAATTTTCATTTAATTCGATTACTGTTATTTTCCATTGATTCAAAGTTAGTTGAGTCCAACCTACTCTATCTCTCAACCCAATCCAAGAAGAATTTTGTATCTCAAAACTAAATACCAGGTCACTTAAGTAATAAAAGCAGCTAAAAGAGTGGCAGGTAATTTATTTATAGGCACCAAATCATTTCACAGAGACTACAAAAAATCGCTAAAGGAAAACTAAAAAAAATATGCAGTAATTAAAGAATAGGCTCTGGTTTCTTCTCATTCGCGAAAACGTTGTTCTTGAAATTTTTGATATAGGACTGCGTATAGTGAAATACGTATTTATATAAGTGATATTGTAATTACTATTAGAGTTAGAGACTTAAGGAGCAGTATGTGTATATAAATATAGGAGTTAAAAATAGTTATATACATATAATTTTAATTGGACTTAAGAGGATGTAAGACTATTCAAGAAATTGTTAATAAAATGAAGTTTTCAGCACTTGCGTGTAGAACATGTGAGCAGTTAGTAATAAAAAACATACTTTCAATATACTTAACTTTAGGTAAAATCAATTTAACCACAGTTAACTTTGTAACTTTAAGTTATACATTTTGTCCATTGATTACCTTCATCTACCTTAAGACCTGGTATTCAGATTAAATATACAGAATTCTTCCTACATAGGATTAGAGATGGTATTAAGACTTTTATTACTTTAAAACATTTCTACAGCCACTTTAGATAAATAGAAAATGCAATTGAAAATTTCAGCGCTACTTGACTGAGAAGATAGGTGAGATAGATATTCTTTAATACATGGTTTTATGGTTTTTAATGATTAATAGTCTTTAATGGTTTAAGTTGTGAACACCTGAGCGGTTTTGATCATTGTTATAGCTTTTTGGAGTATTGCACGAATCCCGGTCTCTACACTACCGTCTTCGATTAAACAAAAACAAAATACATACATTTTTTACGTATATACTTTGATAGAGAAATCATCGAGTTATAGTGTTCCTCCAAAAATATTTACATAACAATTGCAATTAAAAGATAATTGTTGATAATTGTATACACTACAAAATACGGGAATTAAATTAAAATTGCATTTCTTGAAAATTATTATATATGTAAGATTCACAACACAAATTATAACAGAACAATTTAGTAATTAAGAAGAATATTTTCATGAACAATTAATTTCACTAATAAACATTTTATACGAGACTGCTAAATGTAAACTAATAAGCAATAAAATCTATTATGTTCATACCAGATCGATTGAAAAATTGTTTGCTCATTGTAGTAGCCAGTGCTAAATTTTGGGGGATTAAGATGCAAGTGAAAGAGGTCGCATATATGAAAATATATAAAACTAAGTATTATATATTACGGAACTGAATAAAACAAAATTTCACCAAAATTTAATTCGTTAAAATGACAGTTTCTTCACATATTTTATTTTAATTATTATTTTATTTTCTTTTTTGTTTTGTAATCCTATATTTAGAGGCACGATCCACCTATAAATGTGACTTCCACGAATAAAATGTTATATTTGTAGTTCGCAAGCAGGAGATGTGCTTCTGAGTCTATATCAACACATACCTATCTACGCTTATGTGTTTGACAATGCCTAAAATAATTACGATTGCCAAAAATTTATGGCGCAGCACTACACTTGGGATAGCCTGCCATTGGCACTCTTCAGTCTTAACAAGTGGTTTGCAATTTTGACGTTTTCATAGATGAGCATTTGCAGTTTCATTAAAATTTAATTTGCAAATGAAAGAAGATGTGCGAAAAGTGTGTGTATCTTACCCTGTGGTGAAATTATTTAATTAATAAAATTCGAGTATTATTATAAGATATCTTATTTTTTTCTGTGGTTTTTTTTTTGTTTTTGAAAATCATAATAAAAATTTCCCAATAATAAAATTTTGAAAACATTAACATTTTTTTACACCTACGCAAGTGATAAAATTGCTTTGTGCCGTACGATCTTTCCAACTAATATGATCGACGACAGACACATTCATTCTATATTTAAGTTTTTATGCTCAAAAAGTTGTCATCGTTTAATGAACTTCTAAACACAATATTTAAATTAACAAAACACCTAAAATTAGAGTCCCCAAAGTTTAACACGCCATGGTACGTGCGTACCTGATGATTTTTTATGGCACACTAAAAATGAAAAGTTTTATTCGAACTATTAAAAATATATAAAACTTAGCACCTGCTCTATATCATAAATAAATCACACTCTATATATATGCCAGTTATATATATATATATTTATATATATTTAGTATGGTCTAGTGTAGAACTACTGTAAAGTGGGCGTATGCATGTTTTTACAACCATAAAATATTGTTTACTTTCTGTAATTTTAACGATCGCAAGAGTTTATAGCAGCGCCAAAAACAAATCCAATATATACTTCTCTAAATCTATTAACTAACTACACAAAGGTAAATTAAAATTTATATAGCTATGGATTTATCTATTGTATAGAATTTAAATTAAAAACACACACATATATACATAATACAAACGATGCATCATTATAAGATACCATAAATTTAGTAGATGAAGCTTTGATCCAAAAATTTAATAAATTTGTGTGGGATTAAAGATGCATTGTGTCATATGTTGTCAAAGAAAATTTGATTTTTCTAATATATTCTAATGATTTTCCTATATACTCGCAAGTTTTTAACTGAAATAAAATTTTTTTTGAGAATCTCAAGTCTTAACTCACATAAACTTTTAATTTTATTTGACATGTAAAATAAAAGATTAGTTTCTAGTTGTCAAATTGAATTCATTATTCAGCAAAATGTGCATTAGCCTCAATAAACTTCATCCACTAGTTGTCCAATTGTTAAATACCGCAGTGGTTTTCCGAAGGCCTGAGAAATACACGCATATAGCCACTGTTAGCTCTCCGTCTATTGAAAACCATACTTCCTTCAAAAAATTTTGAGATGCCAGAAGAGCCCAAACTGAGAAGAAATTAAATATAGTAAATCAACTAGTTTTTGCAGCAAATCGTGTTTTCATTCACTGATCCCAGTGTAATTTTTTAAAATGTTATATATTTTTTTGTAAAATATATCTTTCTTCACTAATTTGTGCATTCATTTCATTTAAAAAGTTGCAATAATAATCTGAGGTTATTGTTTTGTCAGTCTGTGGGTGATATATTCAGAAAATTTCTTTTATATCCCAAAAAACAGATGACAGTTGATTTGTGAATGTGAACTCGGCTTTAGAGCCAAAGAATCGGACTCACACCACTCTTTAGCCTTTTATTGTGCTTAAGGTTCATGGTGCTAGACCTATATATATAAGGCTAAAGAGTGATGTGAGTCCGATTCTTTGGCTCTAAAGCGAGTTCACATCCCAAAATCAACTGCCATCTGTTTTTTTGAATACAAAAAATTTTTTATTTATATACATTAATATCGTTTTCAGCAAAGAACGTGTTAGTTATATGCTTTTAACACAAAACCTGGAATTTGAGCATTGAAAGTTTGTGCAGCCTTGGCTTCTTGTGGATAAACACGATTAGTCATCGCTTCTAATTTGACAGGCACGAGTTCTAAACCTGGCACTTGCAGTCCAAGCAAATTATATACGGACTATAAACTAATTAAATAAAATTCGATTATTTCCAAAGACCACTGATGAAGAGTACTTGGCAATACTCCAAAACAGCGTTGTATGGTCAGCCAAATTTCAATAAATTAAAAATAAGAAATTTTTGTCTTTGTCCTTTCTTTGCTATTCGAATCCGTCTAACTTTTAAATTATGTTTTAAATTTCGGCACAACAAAAAGTATCACATTAGTAGTAAAAGTACGGAATTGTTAATTGTGATATGACTGTTTATGATACGACATAAGAGCGTGAAATTGTAATGACCGTTCGTCATATGACTGTCTATATAACATAGATGTCAGTCAGATTTTATTTATATTGTAACATATTATAAAAAATTTTGGTTCCTGTTATATAAAAATACCCACATTAAAGTTACAAATTAGACAGAATATTAAATATGACTATTTCCTGATATTATCTATTTAAGATTTATTATTAAGAATTCAGATTGGCATTCAAGTGCAAATTGTTAACACTAATTAATAATTAGTTCATTGTTTTAAAATATCTAACACAAAAATTTTAGAAAAAGCAAATATATGAAACAATGACGTCGGACTGTACACATACCGACTACATCGCCTATAGAACATTTAATCATTAAAATCTAGTAATTAAGCACAAAGAGGGAATACTTGGCTAAATAATAAATATTTTCACGCATCAAATAAACAAACTTTTTGCTAAGCAAAATAAGAAAATAAAGTCGTCCGAAGAAAAAAACTTAACCTGCCTGCTGCTGCAGAACAAAAATGCTCGACTTTCCAACTGAACATTACGAATCATCGCACTTGTGAATGAAGTGAACTACTGAGAATCCGTCCCTTTAAATATGCTATTTTGTTGTTGTGCCTTACAATAATATTTACTTAATTATACTTCTCTACATTGATATCAACAAACAGATATATAATAAAAAATAGGTTTTTTCAAACTTTTTATAAATGTACAGTGGCTGCAGATACCCGCCTTTATTCTTTTTTAAATTTTTTTCTTTTGTTTATATAGCGCTTCCCGAGAGAATCAAAACAAAGAATTTCTTCAAGATTTCTTTTAAACTATAGTGAAAGAGACTAATCATATGGTGCTGATATCTCTTCGTTTCAATTTAGATTTTCATACTACAGTACCGGACCCTGATGGGAGGATGCCATGCTCAACATTTGCTTGATGGCTATGTTGTTGATAGCAACCTTTCAGTTTAAATTGGTCGCGCACCGAGTAAGTGACTGATTGACTTGGTCTAAGAAGCAATCTGGCGGAATATGTATAGCACCTAACGTCGGCTAAGTGTATGTGTGTGTGCGTGTGTGCCGTGCAGTGAAATTTAAAAATTAAACAATAAGTTATTTCTTTATTTATTTAAATTTTGCTTGACACTATTTTAAGCAAACCTAAAGAATTTTTCGGTACGACTTCGAATGTGAAAATGTATTATAATAATATTTTACACTAAATGTTTATAGATAATACCTAATGTCATAAAAAAAGTGAAAATAAAAAGAAATACTCAACATTATATACAAAATATTTTAATAATTTTTACTTTGCATATTAAAATCAATGTAAGGAAAAAGTATTTTGACAATTTTTTTTATATATATTATTGAATAAAATATAAAAAAATGCTTAAATATATAATACATAGAAATGCTTAAATACATAATATATAGAAATGTTCAACATATATATTTATATACAGTTATAACATATACTGATTAACTGCAACTGCAGAATTTATGTACAAAATATATACGAATAAATACCAAAAATGATTTATTTATATAATTTACGATTTTATGTCAAACTTATTATTTATAGTGCCTGTTAGTTCTTCTAATTGTGGATCATTATTTTGCTCTAAAATATATAAATAAAATAAAAATATTTCAAAAAAGTAATAAAAAGTTTTCAAAACTTTTATGATGGATTGATCTTATTAATTTAGTAGACAGTGAATATCGTTAATAAAATATAAGTATTATATATCTGGATTAATTAAATAAATAAAAAATAAATTAAAGTAAAATATGAAAATTAGTTAAGTTAATAAATATATCTTTATAAACTTAATAGGTAAATAAAAAAGAAATTATAGTGAAATATAAAAATAATAATATATAACACATCATTAAATAAGTTAATAAATATAAAGACATATTTATTAACTTATTTAATAATGTGTTATATACTATTATTTTTATATGTCACTATAATTAACTTAATAAATTAACTTAATAAATAAATAAAATAGAAATTATAGTGAAATATGAAAATAATAATATATAAGTTAATAAAGATATCTTTATTTTAATGAAATTAAATTACACTCCAGCCACATGCTCTAGTAAGAGTTAAGGGAATATAATGATAACGTTGAACCATTATCTTTGTTATTAATTCAAAAAATTTTTAAGAAATAATTATTTTCTATAAAATCATCCGCACAGATTTTCTTTAGAATTATATACATTTTCTTAGTTTACAAAACATTCAACACTTCAATGCAGTAAATTTAAATTTTATTATCTATAAAAATTGCAATGAATGCAGAAAATTTTATATGATTATCTGAGCATATATAGTTTAGTATTTCTAACTTTTATTATAATTTTTTTTTTATTATGTACAAAATACTAATTAAAAATAAATAGCTAATAGGAACAGTTTTCCTCATCTAATTTACAAAATAATTGCAATTAATAAATACATATTCATATGTGTAAGATATATAAATATTTTTTTTTATAAAAATATATTGCAACGCTTGAATATAACTTGCATATAAATTGGATTTTACAGTTGATTACGATTATATACAATATAATGCATATTTTCTATTAGAATGTATTTGCAATATAAATGAGTAAAATAGCAAGACATTATTTTAATTATATTAGTTTTCTTAATTCAACAATTTATCAACCCATTTCTCTCAACAAAAGTTTAACCCACTTATAAAGAAAAAGATAGTAGTAATACAGTGTTATATATAAAAGTGGTTTTCGAATATATAGAGTTGACTGTATTAGGTAGAGAATTAAATTTATTATACATTTAAGGTTTTAGTTAATCGTTGCATATATATTAAATTGATAGACGATAGAAATATTAGCTTCCAGAGTTGCGAAGCAATACGATCATACAAGATCTTTCGTATAACAACTGTCAATAACTGAGAAGATAACGATTGCGTCAGTTTTAGAATTATATCCCATTCCGTATTTCCGAGCACTCGAATCATTTTTTTTTTTGAAAATGTCTTTTATTGGATATGAATAGTACAATATTAACTATTTGTTAATTTATTATTGATTGTTTTAGTGTACTTAATAGATATTAAGTAAGACGTGTGCGGGTTTACTAAGCCAGTGTTTAGCTCCCACTTACACTTAAATTTGACAATAGATTTTGGTAAAGTCAGTTTTTTCAATATAGTTTACTTCTTGTCATACCGACGTTTAAGGTTCCGGAATTTTTGTATTGATTACATTAACAAAAACTACACATGTCATCAGGTGTGGAGTAGTATATGTTATTTTCATATTATTACACAAACGGTTACATTAATCGCAGAGTTACAAACAAATAAGTGGAGCATTCCGATTTTTAAGGCCCGCCAAATTGACAACGGATTTTGGTAGATACAGCTATTTCGAGCAACATTTTCCAATACGCTATATGTTGCTATAGTTTACTTCTTGACTTAACAAACTTTAAAAGTTTTTAATTGGTCAACATGAAATGTCATTTATTAATAAAAATTACGTATACACTACACTAGATGATAGTGTATGCAATTTTTATATTGATTAAAAGAAACACCGAGTAACAGCGACATACGGCACTTCTATTTCTTGTAGGTATGGTAATTCTCAAGAATTTAGCGATTTTCGTTACAAATAGACACTTCAAGGGAATTAAAAGCATTCTCTATGGTATATTCAATGGTTATTGCTGTAAGCATATTAATTAAATGTAAAGGAAAAATAAATTTTCTGACGAGACTTTTTCGCTTTCAGCCTTTAGTTAATTCAATATCTGTTAATTTCAATTCAGCGTACTAACACAGGTATTTATCACACTGGAAGTTTCTTAGATACGGTTATATCTTAAAGACACTCAGCATAACTGATCGACAGAAAACCAAGATTTAAAGTGTATTAGGCAGAATTTAATAGCATATATTATGTAAAACATCGTTTTCTGAATGCTTTGAATACCAGTCATATTTTCTTGATAGGTTTAAAATCTGTTCACTGGTATGAAGACTTTCAAAAATCACATATAAAAGTAAACTTATCGCTACTTCAGTAAAAAATTTCTTCAAAGATTATAAAGAGGATTTCTTCAGAAGTTTCTTTCTATACGCAATGGATCAACAAAGTTACCTGTAGTTATATTTTCACCTGCTCTTTGAGAACTATGTTTCTCGGTATTTCATCTTCGATATAACCATATTCAATAGTCAAAATTGAAATATATTAATTTTATTTATATTAATTTTATTTAACTGATTTAAGTGATGTGATGCCGAAACTTAATTGGGGAAACACAAAAATAATTTTAAGATTCACAATAGTTGTGGGCTGTCACATAACATTTTTACAACATGTAGACATTCTACAAACATAATGAACAGCACAAATGATTCAATAAGCACATAAATATGTTTTTAAATGTTGTGTTAATCACATAAAAAATCAAAATAATTAAATTTCATTTAAACATTTTTATGATAAATGTTGTATGGACAATGAAAAATAGACTATTAATTTAGGATTAAATAATTTTTAAACTTAAAAGCAGTATTAAAAAATCCTATCAATAAATTTTAAATATTTATATTATATTTTATTTGCTGCATTTAAAGTTTTTTTCTATTATAATATCATTTTCTAAACATAGGTGCACTGGAACTGCCCTTAAACGTGAACCGAAGACGATTGTTAATTTTGAATCACAAAATCTAAAAAATTTGCCATACACAAAATTTTTTTACCATATATCAGAGCCATGCGCTATTGAAACATATCCGATACTGCCATAAATCTGTTTCGCAAGTTCGTGTGTACTCTGCATATTAGAAAATCCACTACTACTATAAGTTATGGATGAATACACGTGGATTTAGAGAAATTTTTCAGTTTTGATATATTGGCGCTTAAATTAAACCAATTAAATATGTTAAATGAACACACGGCTGAACTATTCAGCCTACGGAAATATACATAATTAGTTAGTGCGCTACATGTTTTGAGAATATATGATAAAAACAAATAAATTTAGATTAAAATATATCTACATATAAAATTTGGAAAATTTTAGTTTTTTAAGAACTATAATAGCATATATTTAAATATTTGCCATCATTTACTTTTGGCTACACAATATGCATTTTTCGAATAGCTACTAGGTCAACATTTTACGAATGTCCTCAAAAAAACTTCACAAATCCACATATGTATGTCTAAAGATTTTCAGAGCACTACTTTTGAATAGAGTAAACGGTAGAATAAAAAAACATCATTTAAAAAATGTATTGTACTCCTCCGCTCTCCAGTATATTCGAAATGGAACCTTAAAGTTATTTGCAAATTAATTAAAAAACACACAACTCTTGAAGTTTGATCAGAGGAGCCAAGGTCTATGGTTGTTTCGGTACCATCTTGATGGTTTTTCTTCAAAGAGTATAGGCATCATTTTAGGAATTATCGATACTTACAGGACCACTTCTGTTCCTCTGCAACCATCTGAAGGTAGGAGGAGATGCAACCATCTGGAGGATCTATTAAACTTACATATGTTCCTGGTATTCCTTTTGATCCCAGCGACATTGTTTCTTGTTCCGATAATGGTTAATATTTTATCTTCTGGGTCTTAATTTTCCATTCTAGCATTGACCACTGTGATTTGACCAATCAGGTCCCTGGTAATTCTATTTCCTTCTACTTGGACAACTCTCGAACACTAGTCCCTGTTCGGGCGCCAATTGTAACGACACGGATTCGTCGTTTAATTTTGCTGAGGTATCACTCAGTCACGGTTCGGGTCGTTGCAATAAAATTGGCATGTTTTTGGATCCATTTTCATCAAGTACGTTGTGATGAAACGGAAAACTGATTGTTTTTCTTTAAAATATTTAGGATACTAAGGATACTTGAGAATATTTTAGGTTACTTTTAATAGGTACGGCATTTTTAACTAAACCAATGTACTTATATATCAGATTGATTCACCAATTTACCTTTTTGGTATGAACTTCAATGAACTTCTTTGAACTTTTAACTAAGAGGTTTGTTACTGTACGTTGTTCAAAATTTTCCATTGTTAAAAAATGGAATGAAACGTCAATTTTAAAATGAAAGCAAACAAAGAATGTGTTGACAGATCAAAATAAAATTTTTTCAATCTTATGAAAGAAGTATTAAAATGGTGTCTAAATTTAAGTTCTAATATTAATGAGTAGATGATGCTTCGCGAAATTATTGAATAGTAGTACTATTTTAGCTTCAGTTTATTTCATTATAAGTTTATTGTATTAGAAAGAATTTTGAAACGTTTTAGCCGTCTGCCGGAGCTGTGGATTGATCTATTAATTATTTATCAAAAATAATAAATAAATTTTATTACTATTAAATTCAATTATACGATATAAATATTAAAAAAAAATATTATAACAAGAACACTGATGCACAAGCGGAAAAAACATCTAGGAGGGTATTTCATGGATCATAAGGATTCAAGACTAGGAAAGATAGGCTCTATACTGTCTTTCATTAAAGAAATCGGACTTGGAGATACACTCTAATCCGACTAAGGGGCACAATAGAACTTTTAGATCGCAGTGCACGATCTATTCTTTTAATAATAATACTAATGCTAATAATAATAATAATATTCAGTATACTATTCGCTTCAATGAAAAGGTGTAATCTACAACTTTAAATGGAACTAATGTACCTTTTCTCAATTGTAGCTAGCAAACATATATCAAATAAACTAACTGTGACATTAACAAAACCATAACACAAAAATAAAAATTCTTAAACAAAAAGAATGTTTATATATCTAAATAAATAAACATATTTATATATTCAAAATGCGCTACACATTTTCAATATTATTTCAAAATCTAAAGTAAAATGCTTTTAAGATATTTCCCAATTGTGAATTCTTCTGTGAGTTTCAGACTGTCAAGTCTCGTAAATCACATATAAGATCGACCATGAAAGAAATAACAAATATATGTCAAAAATGTCAATATATAAGAAGAACTGTGAGTTCTATAGTTCATAAAAGTAAACAGACATATTATATATGAGAAATGTACAATAAATACAAAAACAAAAAATACATTATAGACGAAAATTTTTCCATATATTTGCAGTTAATAAGACTCAAAAAAATGTGTGCACATTAATTTTAAATTATACGGAAAATTTTCTTTGTTTTTATTTAACTGAAAATTAGCCATTTTTCTGGAAATCAAATTGTTGACAAATGATTATTTATTTACTCTATAAACATATTTTTGTCATTAACAAATTGCTTCATACATTTTTCTTTGTTTTTCTTAACCCAAACCGCAAACTTATTAGGAGTATAATGAAAAGAAATTAATAAATGATTTATATTTTTGTAAAAAAAAAAATATTAGCAACAAAAACAAAGCAATGAAAAACCTTTTTGTTTTTAAACAAAAATATATATTAAATACAAATATATAAATTATAATAATTAACAATAATAAATCATGTTTAATCACAAAAAACAAGTTCAAAATCCTTCCAATTAATAGCTAAAAAAAAACAAAATTAATTCAAGAACAAAAATTAATAAAATTAATATAAAAAAAAATAAATTTAGACAAAAATATATAAATAAATATTTGTGCATAATTTACACATAATGAAATTCATTAAGTGTAAATGATATACAATAAATACTTAATTTTCAGCTTATAGGTCTAAAAATAAAATTTGTATTAAATTAGAAAATTACAAAAATTAATCCAATTTTTGTTAAATAGTTACAATATTAATAAATTATATAAATAAAATAAAATTTATTGAGTGTTTATTTAGAATTAAAATTTTTTTTTTCACATAATTTTATTTTCAACAAAGAAATAATCTTAAAAATAATTTAATAAAGCAATAATGTTACAAAGAAATGTAAAATTCACTTTGAGATAAAGTGTGTCAAAATATTATTTTTGAAAAACGTAATAATTTCTAAATGAATTTCCGAAATATAAATGATAAGTGCATTAAAATTGAAATAAAAGCGAAAATTCTAAACTATAATAAAAAGATTTTATTAAAGGCAAGAATTTTAATTTTTATTATGACAATTTCAGTATTTTTAGCTACGGAAATTCCCCGTGTGGCTTTGTGAAAAACGTATGGACGATAACTCTGAAATTTTAGTTGTCCCCGCGAAAGCGATTTGTGCAGGCGATAAAAATTAAAAATGAAAAAAATGAGTGTGAAGAGTGTGAAGCGTGATGCTTCAACGTCAACGCTTGGACACGATGAAGCCAGAAAACCACTGATGGCAGCCTACATGTTCCAGCGACGTGTACTGTTAGGCTGTAGCGTGCTAATGGCATTATCTCTGATTATCTGGATAATTGCCATTGCCACCGATCGTTGGATCATCATAACCGGTGGAGGAGGTAATTTATATTTTTAAGCAAACAGAAAATAAATACAATGTATTGAAGATATATAAATAAAATAGTGTATTATCTTCTTTTTGTTAAGTTCTCTCATATTTTGATTATTATAAAGTTATTTTATGTATATAAAATATTTATTAGTTAATATGTGTTCCATTTAACCTTAGAACAAAAATATCTTATAAAATATAAGATTAAAGCATTGGAGCCGAAATCTTTTCCACAGACCTAAGGATTAATAAATCCTACCATCTCTCCGATTCAACCTCAATATTTCAGGCAGAAATCTTCGCCATCCTTAGAGCATGTGGTCTTACTTTGAAAATGCACTTTCACGGAAAGGAAGTCTATATTCTTACTGACAGCTATTAAATCTTTATCAGTGGCCTACATTTCATCCATAACTAATCTGAAATAATGTAGAAAATTTATTAACTCACTAAATGAGCAGTTCAAGGCACTTTTAGTTTGAGCTTGAGATAGAATGGACGCCTCTACGAATACCCCTATTTCAATCACTGTGGTATCTTCTGCAACGCATGTCTACCAACTCTCGAAGAAAGGACACTAGAACACCTTTTGTGTTTATGTACAGGATTGGCCAGAACGAAGCTTGAGTTTTTGTGGGCCTCCTTCTTTAACACACTTAGCGATATCTGCAGTATTAGCATTGGCCACACTCTCGCCTTTATAAATGCTTCAGGGTGGTTTTAGTTCGACTTTCTTTTACCCACAAGAGGAACTGTGACCGGAATGTGACCGGAATTGGTTTTCAACGTCCCCGATTATGTTCCAGTAAATTTGCGTGCTCATAATAAATGTACAAATACAAAATTCTTATTATTTGTGCTTGGAGAATTTAAGATTCTGTATACAAATATATTGGCCATTGTTCAATTCTCTATATTTTGATTCATATTTATTAATATCGCAAAATTTACCTAAAGTTATATCTACATCACATTCATACAATAGAAACCTGCACGTTATTAGAACTCACTTGTCGTATTTATCTAAAAGTTGTAGATTTAAAATCTATTTACAAAAATAATAATTCTACCATGTTTATCTTCTATTATTCTGTTTTATTTTATTATTTATTTATTATTTATTAGTTTTTATTATTTTTTTATTTTAATATAATTACCGAATCTCTACAAAAAAATAGTGTTATACCAGTACAGTTTTTAAATTTCTGTAATCTTTAGATATAAATAAGCATTCAGAAGATAAAGTTAAGATCGGATTTGAATATGTAAGGTTATTCGGAAAGTAATGTCGTGAAATTGTTTATTTTAATACAATTTCTCTATAATATATAATTATTTTATTGAACTATATATTGTCCATTCTGGTGCAATATCTTTAACGTTTTTTATAGCAGTAACTAGATCATACTTATAAAATTTTTGTTTTTCGGTAGTCTTTTTTGACCTTCTTATTTGAAGAAAATGTCTTACCGTCTAAAAAATTTTATAGAGATTAGAACAAATTATAAATAGAAGATACTAGGTCTGGAGAATAAAGTAGATGTGGTAAAATAATTCACGCAAGCTATTAATGCTTAGGGAGAGTCTAAAAAATTTTATAGAGACTAGAATAAATTATTATCCGAAGATAATAGATCTGGAGAATATGGTAGAATATTCCAGCTAAGCTATCAAAGCTTGTATCGAGTTAATTCTAGCGTTTTCTGTTCAAGCGAATCATTCAATTTGTCTAGCTCGTGATAGTACAAATCAAAATTTATCCCTTTGGTGTTTAGTAGAAGGCCAAAATAAAACGATTCCTTTAAAATCTAACCGAATAGCACTTTCTTCTTTTTTAAGAGTATCGTCTAACGAGAGTATCGTCTTTTACACCGTGACTTTTTGTATTTAACCTTGTTTTAAACAATTAATTTCTTATTTTCATTGATGATGCTTCGTCTCCAAAACGAAATATTTCTTTAAGTTTGAAAAGCAAATCATACATGTCAATGCGATGGACAATTATGGGTTCAAAACTTAAAATGAAATCTATGTATTTTATTATTACGAAGGGATTTACTTACTCACAAATCACTTATTACGAACTGATTACGAAGTTTGAAATATGATAAATTTACTATCTCAGCATGATTATCTAACGATTTGTAATGCCTTAATTGTGAGTTTATCAGCTTAAATCAGTCTTCCAGAACGTGATATATACAAAATTTTTCGACTCAGTTTAGTGATAAATCACTAACTATTAGAACTAACTATTAAAAATATTGCATAACTACAATAATTAACATTTTATAAGTTAATATATTAACTAGATTTTTATTGTAGATAATTATATTGTAGATAATTGTCGTTAAAGAATTATCTATTAGCTGCCTTAAAGATAATTTTTTTCACACTTTTTTACATTTTATACATTTTTTCATAATTTTTAATTTTGTAGGTATTTTTATTCCTGAAACTCGTCGCTTCTTTATGGCTTCGCATTCCGGTTTATGGCGTCACTGTCGAGAAACGAAAACACCTAATGCCTTACCGAATTCGACTGTCATACGAAATTTCACATCCTTCGCTTTTACGAATGTTGGTTTGGTTAACAACGCTAAAATGAATATGTCACATATGGAATTTATTGATGATTTTCGCTATGAAAATGTAACATTTCCATTAAAAAATTTTACACAAGAAGCTAAGAAACGTATGTTCGCACATTGGATAAGAAACGATGAACCCGAATTCCAAACTTTGAAAGCTGCTTTCCAAAGTCTAGAACTCTCATCAGAAAAATCACGCAAGGCGTTAAATCCGAGCAGTGCTAAACCGATAGCTATAAATCCTTTGGATATACAAAATGCGAAAGAACGTAAAACATTCGGAAATGCTTTACAGGAAGTGGTTGTAAACTCAACAAATTATAATTTTGTTATACCGGAATCTGGACAAGCAGCCATTTTTGAAAACTGGAATAAAATAGATCAAGTACTTAATTTATTATGGGCATATTTCCGGGATTTAGGTATACCACCATACGTGTTGAATGAGAATGGAGTTGTATTACAATTGGTACCACCAATACCACCTAAGAAGCAACGATTGGCTTATGGTTATGATTATGTGCCAAGTAGTAAGTTGAATGTTATACAATTACATAACTACAATATATATATATATATATATATATATATATATATAT